CACACAGTTCTGTGCACCATACCATTTTGGACTGCAGTCCAGGAGACTGTAAATTTCCTTCCCCCATATTATAAAATAAGGGCCCAGATCCTTTCTTAGAAACTAAGCTGGTTTAGCCCTGGGTAGTATTTGGATGGGAAATCACTAAGGAATACCGGGTGCTGGAGGCTATATTCAGAGGAAGGCAATGGGAAACAGTAATCTGATTTCTCTGCAAGCATAGGTGGGTATACATTTATTGTGCTTCCCTACCCAGCCTTGGTACTAGTTGGTCTGTTTCCCATGTTACATTTTTTGGACATGGCACTCAATGCCTCCCGTCATTACAATGAAGTTTGCTTTACATTCAGTGCTGGCACTGGTTTCTGTACCTCACAGGTGGCACTAATGTCAAATGCTGTTGAGTACCTGCATTTCTCTGTAAAAAGGAACATTGTGACTGAATTGACCCATGTTTGCTCTTCCAGAATCAGTTTAGGGCAGGCTGAAGGCCTGTTTGCCAAATGCCAGTTTGGAAGTAAACTAATGACTAAGAATGCCAGTATAATGCCAGGCTCAGGTGTCCAAGAATGCTGAGAATGCCTGGTGACATGTTTTTTGCCAGTATATAAATTATTATTTTTAAAAAAGTAATATGTGGTGGTCGGGGGGATGAGGGTAGGGATAGAATTAGTTAGACCTAGGTACCTCTTTCTGGCCATTAACACGAGGGGCTGTTTGCGAGGAAGTTAGTGTAAGCCCCACTGAAATGAGAAGAGAGGCTGCTCAGCAGTAGTTGAGTGTGTTGGAGAATCAAATTCTGGCTCCTTCTGGCTTGTCCGTAATGGAACCTGGGATATGCTGGCTAATGCAGCCATTCCCTCATGTTTGGGTAAAGGGAGAGTAACTTTGCCAAAAAAATGAGTGCACAGAAGGCGAAGAAGCTCAGTTGTGATGATGAATGGAAGATCAATAGTTCTTGGATATCTGTTGATTCCTAGGATGTGTCCGAATGAGGCCAGGAATCCTAATACCATATGTATGTGATAATGTGCCTCACTTGTCATATAAAACTCTCCATTTGTGTTCATCCTCAAGATTTCTAGCATTGTGTATCAAGGCCTGTGCACCTTGTTCCCATGTCCCTCGCTGGCCATAAAAGCACAAAGTATTAAGGGCCAGTGCAATGTAGTTCTTAGAGTCCCCATTTCCCAGAGCCTGTTTGAACAGAATGATCCCAGCCTCATAAACCATGGTTTCGGATTCTAGTTAGTGCACTGATACCAAGCTGTCCTTTCCTGTTTTGTGTGTAACGGGAAATCAGGGTATTCTTTAACCAGGGTCAACGCACTGAATGCAGAGGCCCAGTTTCAGAAACCATGGTTGAAGTTGATGTTGGAACCCACCTCCAGCCAACCCGAGAAGGTTGTTGTGAGG